ATACCAAAAGGAAATAAAGATACAATACTGAAAAATCAATTCTGAGTGAGGGGGAAGTGGGACTTTTTGATAAAACTGTCCTCAATTGTTTTCTGTTATTTTTTAAATCCTCAAAAGGGGTAACTGATATACAGAGATCCCCAAATAGGCTGGGTTTTTTTTTTGGAACAGCTTCAAGATTTGCATTTATGTTTCCCAGTATTAGGATCATTTTAGTGGAACTGGCTAGCCTTCTCTTGTGAACATTGTTTTAAAGATTAGATTAAATATCAAGGAATTGGGGGAGTTCTTATTTTTAGGCAGAAAAATTAAATATTTCTGCAGAATGTAAAATGTATGCTCAAATTGAAGTTTGCCTAGTTTATTCTACCTAACTGTGATCACATCTAAAAATCTTTGCAAGGCTATTCTGAGCCTGGGGTGGGGGAGGTGACTCACTGTGAGCCTTCCTCACCTGTTTATGCAGGTGAAATCAGGTTAGGATAAATATAAAGGGCCTCTTTGGAAGCAAAGAGGCATTGGAGAGCACCCTGAGAGGAGGTCTTGGAAGCAAAGTATCCAGCACCTGTTTCAGGTAGAGCCCTATACCTCTTTCTATGGAGACCATTTGCAATATTTTTAATGCTCCCTTCCTGATAAAGATAAAAATCTTATGCCTGATTTTAACATTACCTGAAATGTCACAATGAATGAGACTGTGAATAATTAGCAGACTGGATAGGTCCTATATGAGGTTGAGAATATCTGCTCCAGACTGAGCTTCTCAAGGGCCTTTACTACCCTGACACTCTTGGGTTTCTGGGAAATTGGGATGGAAGTCTGACCTGACCACTCATAGGTCATGAACCTCAGGTGAGCTCCTTACTTTCTCTTAGCCTCCTGTCCCCCTGCTCTGGAAAGGTGATTAGGACACTTGCCACTTAAGGCTGCTTTGCAGATTTAGGGAGATGTTTAGCACTACTGCCAGTTAAATAAACAGAAAATAAAACAACAACCCCAAGCTAGGTGCCATGGTACATGCCTGTAATCTCAGCAGCTTCGGAGGCTGAGGCAGGAGGATTCCAAGTTCAAAGCCAGCCTAAGCAACTTAGTGAGAGCCTATCTCAAAATAAAAAATAAGATGGGCTGGGGATGTAGCTCAGTGGCAAAGAGCTACATCAATCCCAAGTACTAAAAATAAATAAGTAAACTTTCCTATCAATTATTAAATAAAATTAATTAAATAATTAATTAAAAACCCCAACCCCTGAAAACTTTAATTCAAAATAATGGTCTTGTGAGATAGGTCAGTTCCCTTCTACCTCATTTTACAGATGTGAATTGAGACTCAGACATAGTTTAGTGAATCACCTATCCCAAGAACAGAACAAAGCTAATCCCAGGACTTGTGAGTTGGGGCCCCTTCACTATGCCAGCCCTGGCCAAGTTGTCTGCATGTGAGCAGAAGATCTGGGGTCACCTTCTTCCCTGCTTGAGTCATTGGGCTGCCAAAACGGAGTTCAGAGTGATCTGACTGGGATCACCCAAGTGGCTGCCTGAAACTCTTTGGATCTAGTTTCCTTTGTACTAGTTAAGTGAGCACTATATTAACCAGTCCTCTTGTGTTTCCTGGGCCATGTTCTCTTGTCAGCTGGGCTATGAGCTTTATTTCGGAGATGGGATCAAGTCTCCTATTTCTTCTCAGCCAGCCACTAACCTCAGAGAGTCTGTAAACCACGTGAATGACTTTCAATGGAGAACTTCCCTGCACAGTCTCATCTGGGCTTTAGTTTCACCAACCAGCCTTTGACTAGAGTGATCAAAACCAAATAATGGACTTCACTATCTGTACTCTGAGTTCCTTACAGTTGTGCCCTTTCTCAGGTCACCAAACCCCTCAGCCGCAGTTTCCTCATCTGCAGGGTGAGGACATGAAAATCTGCGCAGCGTGTCCTGTGGGTCAAGATAAAATGAGATGCTGTGTGGAAAAATCTTTTGTAAGCTTTAGGACAGTTTTTGTCTCTGACTCGCTCCTGCTGTTCACCTGAATTTCTGATTCCTTCCTCAATTGAGCAGTAGGAGTGTGTCCTCTGATCTTTGCGAATCCTTTCTCAGCAGAGTTGTGTAGCTGCCTGAACTGAGAGAGAATCCAACAGTCCCACAGAACAAGGAGGAAGAACTGTGGATCCAGGCTGACAGATTTGCTGGGTTTTGACACTTGGTAGGTAAATCTCTGCTCAACTCCCTCCAGAAGACCTGGAATCTTCTCTTCCCAGTTTCCAGCAAAGAAGTCTTGGTCAAGTATTGAATGTATCTCAGCATCATCTTAAAAATGTGGCAATACTTGCCTTGCCGGTTTTCCTATCAAATGAGGATGTATCAGGGTAGGCAGTTAAAGCATGTGACTTTGTCCCTTTTTATTTTTTTCTCTTTCTTCTATTTACCCTTCTAACTGTCGCTGCCTTGTTTTGCTTTTTCATAAAATGGAGGTGATAATATAATAATCCTTGGCCTACTTAGTTCACAGGGCCATGGAGTGACTTGGGATAAAAGCAGTAGCAGGGTTTTGAAAAACAGTGAAATGAGGTAGAAATACCTGCATGGGGTGTTCTGGGCCTCACTGACCTGGAGCTGGTAAGTCGTGTGTTGGTCCCCACAGGCCTGGGCTGTTGTGTGCTGCAGCAGCCACGTTTAGAAGGTCATCTAACAGATTCTTTTACCTGCTTTTCCTGAGGTCCTTGATGCTCTCACAACTACCTGCTATGCTTTGCATTCTCTCTACACCTGTCACTCAAATGCCTTGTTCCCTAACCGCAGTTTCCATCTGAATCACACAATAGTGGGTGGACCGCACATTCACTATTCTTTGAATGCAGAAATGGTGCCTGCCCCAATCTCTTGGGCTGTCAGAAGCCACCATCACATGACAACCTCACCCCCCCACCCCTTCCTCCAGCTTACCCTCATGAATAAATACTAAAAAGACTCATTATAGGGAGATAAGGAAAACAGGAAGTGTTTTGAAAAGTCCCAACAACCCACAGTGCGAACAACCCCATTCCTCCAGAGGCCACCAGTGTCTTCTGCTACTAAGCCACCAGCCCCCTGTGTGGTTGAGGAAGTGCTGCTGTGTCTTAGACCTCGAGGGGACAGTGGGGCAAGGCCAGCCTGGAGCCAGGAGGGCGGGCCACAGAGGCAGGGGAGCTGAGCTGCTGTATTCTGGGCACAAGGTCAAGGCCAGCTGCAGGGAGAACAGGCAGTCGCTGTGTGCAGCTGGCCGCGGTTAGGCCAGGGCTGTCCCTCACTTGTGGTATATTTAAAGAGATCCCACCAGGGGATCGTGCCAACAGGAAAAATGCACACAGATCTCTGTCAGCCACACTCAGTACCCTGGCCAAAGCCTCCTCCTTCGGCCACAGTTCCCTGGTGGTGTGTTTGTGTGTAAATAGAGGAAGGCTGGCTTCTCAGCCTCTCCCAGGTGTAGGTGACTTCAGCCATCTACCACCTGGGGACACAGGCCCCTGGCTCCTGGGCCTCTGTGCCCACTGACTGAGCTGGCAGAAGTACAGGGGATTAGCTAAGGATTCGTGCCTCCCACCCTGGTGTCAGTAACCTAGCAACCAAAGGGGAGAGGCAGGCAGGCAGATGAGTCAAATAGAGCTGCTCAGAACCTCTGGCTTAGTGTTTGTTTGTGAAAACTCCCTGGGAGTGTGCACACAGCCTCCCTTCCGGCAGGGAGTGGCAGTGGCTGGGCTTTCCCACAGTGCTTCTGGCCTAATGTTCCTCTCAAAGGGATGTCCAGGTCCCAAGCTTGGAGTACCCTTTAGGGAGGCTTCGAGACCAGGCCAGGGGAGCCCAGGGTGGCTGAATTCTCTGGGTGCCTCTCACTTCTTTTTTTTTTTCCTCAAGTGGAGAGGAGTCTACAGGCTTGAATCCCACGGAAAGCTAAGGACTCGAGAGCCTGAGGTGCCCCAGCATGAAGACAGTGGGTGTGCACAGAAGTTTGAGCTTTCGGGTAGCCAGAGACTAAGGAGAGATCTCATGAGAGACTTGGGGAGAGCAGGCCTGGAGAGGGGTGGGGGTGAGAAGCAGGCTGCTTATCTACCAGGGGGAGGGGCGCCGACAGGCAAACCATCTGAGGCAGGCTGCAACAAGTGCTGGAGGAATTAGGAACACACCAGAGCACCCACGAGATCAGCTGCGTAATTTGTGGGGCTCAGTTCAAAGTGAAAATGCAGAATTCTTTGTTTAAAAATTATGAAGAATTTCAGGACAAAGACAGAAGAGCAGGCTGGGGTTGTGGCTCAGTGATGGAGCGCTTGCCTAGCACAGGTGAGGCACTGGGTTCGATCTCGAGCAATACATAAAAAAATTAAACAAAATAAAGGTATTGTGTCCATCTACAACTAAAAATAGGGGTTCTCTGAATAGGAATTTTGTGAAAAACAAAACAAAATGAACAAACAAACAAACAAAAAACAAAAACCAGAAGAGCACTAGAACAAGGACCCTTCTGAACATAGGGGGCTTTGTGACGGCTCAGCTTGCACTTCATCAGGCTAATGCTGCACATCTGGGAATTGCTCCTTGAAGCCAGTGGGTGAGCTGGGGACTGTTTGGTCAAAGCTCAACCCCCAAACCCCTCACCTCTGCTGCTTCACAGCCACCAGTTCCAGACTTGGACACTGCCTCTACCCCACAGCAGCCCCTCACCCTGTGATGGTAGTAATTGTCCTTATCTTTTTGCGGGGGAGGGAGGCAGTTGGGTGACATTGAAAGATGGCTGAGGACCAGAATGGACTGAGGGTCCCAGAGCTCCAAGGATTCTCTGGACAGGCCCAACAACCAGAGGCCTCTGGGCAAGGTCATGGATGTGTGTGGGGACAGGACAGAGCACCAAAAATAGAGTGCACTCTGGCTCTCCTTTTAAGGACCCGAGAGGATATATTCTTGAGAATGTACATATGATATTCCAGGAGCAGAAACCAGTTCAAGAAACCTTCTCCCCACCTGGAGCTTACCTCCAACTCAATGTGGTCGTGAAGTTTCTTGCAGGTGGCTGCAAAGGTCTCCGAGGTACCAAATTCAAAGTACCACAGCTTGTTCTTCATCCTGGAACATAGAGCAGAGAGATGGCTCAATATTCTGTACTTGAAATGGTCAAGGAACAGAGTTAGGTTATTTGGTCCAGGAGGCCCAAGTTCCCAGCATTCCCTAACCTTACATTTTTAGCACTTGTTAATCGGATGATCAAGGAATTGAAACAACATTTACAAAGTGTTTTTGCCAGGAACTTAGAGAAAACCCACTCATTTCTTATACATCAGGACAACTCTGGGTGAACTGGTAACTGCTCACTGAACTTCTCTGAACTTTTCCTGATGCAACTTGAAGCAAGTAGGAGAAAGGCCTGTTTGTCTTGAAGTGCATCAAGAGAGTTCCATGGGAAATCAACCAGAGGTGGCAAATGACAACATGCTGTCTTTTCTACTACTAATTCAGAGGGACTTTAGGCAGAGCCCTCTTTGGAGTATGGTGGGGTACAAAGGGAAGCCTTTTGAGACTTAGGGTGTGCAATCAGGACAGAGGAGGGATAGATCCACACTTACACAGCCAAAATATGTGCTGCTTTGTCTGTTCTCTGTTTGGGGGAAGCAGAGAGAAGCAACAGATTTGCAGAAGAGTTGTTTGGTAGCAGTAGCCACCCCCCCCACCCCCAATTTTATTTGCTTAGACCATGGTGACCATTCATTTAGAGGTAGATGTTGAATTTGCTTCAAAGTAGGAGCTCACCATTTTAAGCTTTAAAAATTTTCGACATTTTCTTTAGGGGTAAGGCAGGGAGGAAGGGAGGGAGGGAGGGAGGGAGGGAGAGAGAGAGAGAGAGAGAGAGCGAGCGAGCAATCAATGGGGTCCCCATGTAGCTGGGGCTTTGCAAAGTCAGATGGTGTGCCTGACACTTGGTGGTTTTGATCAGATGGTCTCACCAGGAAGTGTTTCTGAAGGTATTCCATTCCTTCCACCCCAATTGTCACCCCATTATCAGGGTCTGGCTAAGAGAAGGGACACCTGTCCAGTTTACAAGCTGACAGATTTTGCTAAGGAAGGATTAAACAAAATCACATTCCTCCTGGCACTCAGGAGAGAGGAAGCCACCTTGAATGTTGCTAATCCTCTGTCCTCAGATTTGTGGACCAAGGAAAGGAGCATTCTCCAGAGGGTGGAAGGCTCTTATTTCTTTCAGGTTTTCCTTCGGCCATAGCAGATGACTCATCAAAATGACAGACATTTTCTCTGCATTTCTTCAACAGTCTACCCAGAACTTGGAGGTGAGACTGTATTCTTCCATTTGTATGAAGATTTCTAAGATCTTACTGGTTGGGAATTAGCGCTTTTTTTTTTTTTTTTTGTACCAGGGATAGAACCCAGGGCTGCTTTACCACTGATCCACATCCTCAGTCCTTATTTTTTTGAGACAGGGTCTCACTAAGATGCTTAGGACCTTGGGCTAGGGATATAGCTCAGTTGGTAGAGTGCTTGGCTTGCCTGCACAAGGCCCTGAGTTCAATTCCCAGCACCAAAACAAAACACAAAAAACTTAGGACCTTGCTAAGTTGCTGAGGCTGGCCTTAAACTTGCAATCCTCTTGCCTCAGCCTCCCAAGCCACTGTGATTAGGGGTGTGTACCACCACACCCACCTGGGAAGTAGACTTTTTGACCATTAGTGTGCATAAAAATACCTGATAAATGAAGAAGGAAATAAGAGTAAGTAAGGTGTAGGGAATTAGGCCTCATAAAAAGTTGGAAGGACTGGGAGTAATTTAGACCAATGCTTCTCATCTACTGTGCCATGATGTGTGTGCCTGATATACGGCTCTCCTCTGCCTCCAGGGTGGCAGGTAGGGACCGGGGCAGGCTGAGCCCCAGAAAACATTCTCATCTGTATTCTCAATGTCAGGAATAAATATTTTCCATTTTTAAGCATGCTCTGTTGTTAAAAAACATGGGCAAGCATTATTCTGGATTAGGGATTCTCTGAACAGAAATGTGTGAAAATGCAGATTCAGGGTTGGAGCATCTGATCATTTTATAACACTGCTGGTTATAAGGATATGGAGACTCCACCCATAGTTCTCAAATGTTAGTATGCATACAAATCTCCTAGGGAATGTGATTAAAACACTGCTTCCAGGGCTTCAATCTGTGGGGACTATCTGTGGTGTTGTGGGGTGGAGCCCAAGAATATGCATTTTTATGAATGTCCTGGTGATCGTTATGTGTATGGTCAGTGGACAGGACTTTGAGAAACATTGCTATAGATCCCAGTGCATGAACACCATGGACAAGAACAGAACTCATTAGGCCTAAAGGAGTGGACTTCTCAGGGAGGAGAGAACGAGAGTCAGTTGCCTTTCAACAGTCAATGGTGGAAGAGACCAAGTAACGGGAACAACACAGATCATCATAACACCAAGGTTGAGCATCCCTCTCCGGCAGCAAGAGCATCTCTGTGGCCAGAAGACTTGTACTGTGATTCCATTTTCAAGTACCACTGCTGGTCTGAATCATGGCTTTTGAAAGTTATTGCCAGGAGATTTAGAGTTTTAATAAAAATTTCCGGAAGCCACAGCTATTTTTTTTTTCTCACACATGGTTCTCCTGATGATCTAATAAAGTGAAGAAGTCATGGGTAGGTCAGTATTGAAGAAGGACAGAGGGAATCAACTGCACTACTCAGCTACTGTGCTACCTCTGGAAAGTTGTTTGATCTCTTTAAACCTCAGTTTTCTCATCTGTGAAATGGAGATAATAAGATCTGCTTCAAAGGATAGTTGAGAAGATTAAATAATAGCAAAGTGCCGCACATAATACTTATTGCTTACCAAGAACGTTAGCTACTTACTATTAGCAAGTATTAGTTCAGTTCTTTTGAGTTGACATATTTGTATAAAAGAGCAAAAATGATAGATCTTATTTTGTAGCTATAGATATAATATAGTCATAATTTTGTAAGCAAGAAAAACATGTAATTATATTTGTTAGATCAAGTGTCTTGACTTTTGGCTAAAATGTATGCTCCCCCTTGTGACTAATTTAATAGGATTTTTTTTCAGAATCATAGACCACACTCAAATTCTTGGTTCATTATCTTGACTAGTCACATGATTAGCCAAAGATATGATGTGATTGCAAATATGCTTCTGAGAAAGTGCAGGTTTGATGTGAGACAAAATATTTATAATTCAACAAACATTCATTGAGCCAGAGACCAGGAAAGGGTGTACTAGATGTTATCCACAACAAATGCAGCATTCCACAAAACAGGCATCTGAAAGGACAGATAAGGAAGCAGATCATTTTGTGATGCACTGAGTACTATGCACTGGGGTATAACAGAGGAGGGATATACCCCAGTGCATAGACCAAATCTTAGACGGGTCAGGGGAAGTTGCAGCAAGCATCCTATGCGGGATGCCAAGTAGAGGTCAGTAGGATGTGCAAGGAAAGCAGAGAAGGTGCAGGACAAGCATTCCAGGAAGAGGAAGAAGCCCAGGTGTTTGTTTTCCATTACTATTAACAAAATACCTGACACTGGGTAACTTGTAAAGAAAGGTTTATTTAGCTCATAGTTCCAAGAGCATGGTGCTGGCTTGACTTCTGCAACAATCATGGTGGGAAAGCAAAAAGGGGAAGTGGGTGTGTGTGGAAGGAACACGTGTTTGAGAGGAAGCAAGAATAAATCAAGGAAAAAGAAAGAACAAATTAAGGAAGCTGAATTTGCCTTACAACAACCCACTCTCAAGGGAACTACATTAATTTTTTTCATGAAGATGGATCCCTTATAATCCAAATACCTCTTAAAGGCCACCCCCCACCCCCGCCTCTCAACATCATTAACATGGGGAACCAAGGCTCAACATGAGTTTTGTGGGGACAAACCACATTTAAACCATAGCACCAGGCAATGAATTAGAACTCAAGGTGGGGCTTGGCCAGGTTTGGTTGGAGAGGCAGACTGGGGCAAGATTGTGAAGACAGAGATGCTGCTCTTAGGTGTCTGGGTTTGATCTTAAAGTCCATAGGGAGTCATGGACCAACCTTAGGTCAAAATGGGGGTGGTGGAGGTAGTAGTGACTTGATTAGATTTGTGGTTTTTATATTTTTTGGTACTGAGGATTGAACTTAGGGGCACTTTACCACTGAGTTACATCCCCAGTCCTTCTAATTTATTTTGAGACAGGGTCTCTTGATGTTGCCCAGGCTGGCCTTGAATTTGCAATCCTCCTGTCTCAGCTTCCCAGGTTGCTGGGATTATAGGCATACATTAATGTGTCTGGCATATTTGTATTTTTTAAAGATTATTCTGTGCAGCTGTGGAGAATGGACTGGAAGGAGTGAAACAGAGACTGGAGACTAGTTTGAATGTGATATAAGAATCCAGGAGAGAATTGGGAAGGGCCTATATAAAGATAAAAGGTGTTGGGGGAGATTCATAAGCTAAAATTTTGGAGGTAGAATTGACAGAGCTGGTTAAATTGTGAAAAGTGAGTGAGAAAAGGTTAGTCAAAGAGACACCTAAAGTTTTGTCTCAAATACCATGATAGATGACAGATACCGTTTCCTGACAGAGAGGCACTAGAGATCAATTCTCCGGGGGTGGTTGTCTTTGTAAGTGAAGGATAGAACTGTTTTGGCTTTGGCCCATCCATCCATTCATCCGTCCATCCATCCATCCACCCACCCATCCATTCATCTGTTTGTCCATCCATCCAACCGCTGAGCATTTATTGATAATAATTCTGGGTCTGTGTAAGACCCGTAGGTAAGTGACGAGTAAGACAGGCAGGATTTCTGGCCTCACAGAGCTTACCTGCTTTTAACAGCTTCACCAAGACTCTAACATTTGACCACTGACCCACAGGAGACTATGTGTTCAAAATCTAAGAGCTTCTATTGTGATTTTCTTTGTTTTCCAGACAGGTTTTTCTAAGTGGTTCAGGCTGGCCCTGAACTTGTGATTCTCCTGCACCAACCTCCTAAGTACCTGGGACTACAGATGTGCACCACCAGGCTTGTCTCTATTTGTCCCCTTTTAACACAGGCACTTTTT